CCAGCAACTGGGTTGTGTCTTTCTCTGTATACTGTTCCTGCTAACATCTTGCATCCGGCTACTAGGTGCTGGACTTTCTCAGAGGCCTCTTAGCACAATCTGCACCTTGGGTCTTCCCCGGTGTGGTAGACTCCAACTTCTATAGATCTGGTGCTGAGTGCCTGTCCTGTGCTGCTAGGATATATATTAAACTATTTTAATAAATAAAAATTAAAGTTTATTCTCCCCTTCCTGAGGTCTACCTTTGTCCAGAGAAGGGGGATCCTAACTTCTGGTTACAGTGGGAGAATCTGCTTGTCTGCAGCCCTGCTGGTTGCACCAATTGGCAGCAGGTGGGTCCGTAATAACAAAAAACATTCATCAGACCATGACCCATTAGAGGTGCTTGGGGTCTATAATTACAATATTCATAACATTAGATCCCCCCATGCATATTATTATTACATGAGGCATTAACCCCACCTTAAGCTTGTGCACAATGCAAAATATGGTAAAGACAGCATTACCGTGACCATCCTACATGCCATACATGAACCATGTTTTCGGGCCCCAGATTCTTTAGGGGTGTTGCAAAAAAGAAAGGCTATTTGGAGAGACTAAGATCATCTAATCTCCCCAGTTGTACTATGGCTAGACAGGACCTCAGGCCTTCGATCCATGACTCCTGAACTATACTTTCAGCAGATGTACATCACCCTAAATGTTACTTCTAGTCCAGGAGAGAGCCATGTAAAATTATTTATTTATTACCCTTTTCATGTTATATGTTAGTGGTTATTTATGGATTACCTTGTGGCCAAAACAAAGTCTACATTTTCTTTACCTACGTTTTGATGAGGAATACTCTTGTTTATACATATTTATTGGCAAGAAATCCTCAAGTCACTTTGCACATTTTCTTACTGTAGAAAAGATTATGCATTTTACAATTAAATATATACTATTTAATAGAAATCATGACTTGTCTATACATTGATATTAACATAAAAATCACAGGATGCAGACTACATAAAAAAAAAGTTTTGCTTTCACAATCTAATATTATTATAGTCTTTTAATGGTCAGATGTACGCTAGATTTTAATCTGTTTTCTATTTATACTTTATCTATGATAAGAAGCAGTTTGGCTAACATTATGAAATGCACTCCAAATTCCATGAGAAGAAAATTATTCTGTTAGATTACATCAAAATTACATCCTGATAAGCATAATTGAGGTACTGTGATCAAGTGTTCATGACCAAAGTATCTCACAGCTATGCTGCCATTTTAATCAAAGGTAGATTGAGTAGTCTCTCTGATGTGGTCTTATCAGTCTCTGTTTAATGTAAATCCTGTTACAGAAGCTTTGTCCAATGTGTCTGTAGCTTTGTTCTGAACCTTTCGGTAACAGCTCAATGAAGCAGAAACAGTACTGTTAATTGATATTATAAGCCTGCTTATTTTCATTTTATAGGCATCAGTATATAACAAAAATATCTGTTTTAATAGATGAAAGTTACAATTTCCTATTCTAGAACAAAATTAAGTCTGATTGAATTTGCTTTATAAATGAATAAATCAGTGATGCAAGAATGACACACAATAATTTGTATTTCATTCTTATGAATAGTAATCTAAATTCATTTGATTTACTTTTAACTAGATACAAAGGAGTGTTGCAGTGATTAATATTGTATATGTCTCATTTCAAGAAGATATAGCATGTCAATATAAGTTTTAAACAACATATCAATAGTAATGACAAAACAGAGGAACATGAATATATTTAAATTTCTCTCTCTGGTTTGGTTTGTATTCTTCTCATGCTTCGTAGTAGGCAGATCTGATTCTGTTTTATTTTATTTTTATAATTTCTCTAAAACTTCCTCTAGACGACATGTCAAATCCTAGTATCAGGTCTTTTGGAGGTAAGTAAGGGTGATATCTACTTACCTGATCTTCTGCCTTGATAAATGTTGCCAAAAAAGGTCATGTTGACTTATCAGTATAACATTTAAGTGACCTGAAATTAAAAAAAGAACACAAGTGAAATTCAGGCTTTAAAGAAATCATCATTAATTAACACAGTCTACTTGAACTATAATTAAACATATTTTCTATCATGGTGCTGCCCAGTGATAGCTTGTGAAGTTTAAAGATAGTGGGGCGCTACACACTTAACCACATGAGATAACATGCCCTGTTGCTTAACAGATACATTGCTTTTTTTCTAACAAACTTATCAGTAGTCCTTACAATTGAAGATTATGTTAGCGTTAGTGTATTTATAATCTTAATTTTAATAATGACAGGAGGCGAGTATTTTGTATAACTCTCTTTACTAAACTCCATAGCAGTAAAGAAAGTGAAACATTAAACCAATCAAAAATGCAGTAGGGAGTATAGTATCCCAGTAAATAGGCTCCTCCCCCTCTTTCGGAAGCGACATCGTAAACAGGGAAGCAGTTCAGAATATAAGGTCTGTCAACAACACCAACGGGTGGTCTCCAAAGGGAACGATGATCTTCATGGCCTGAGCCGTAAACGAGCACCAATGGGTGAACATCTGATAGAAACCATGGTCTTTATGTGATGAGTAGTAATCCAAGGAATATGCTGCCATTGCTCCACATTCTTATGAAATTAAACTGAAAGGAGAATATGAAATAGATTAGGCAACGGTCTCGAAACTGGTTGCAGCAATGACTGTGATCCATCGATTTATATTGTAATAAATCTATCTACGAACAAGATATACAATGAAACAGTAGTCTAACTGACTGAGGATAACTGAAGTGAAAATATACAAACATACAGGCTCAGGTAGAAACAGATAGAGAAGGTATAAGTGAAAAGAAGCTGTAGACCTTATTGAATGTAGGTGTTCCCTTCTTCCCTGGGTGGGAAAGGGTGGGAAAATACTTTATTAAAATTAAGATTATAAGTACACTAACGCTAGCATAATCTTCAATTTTATCACATGACAGGAGGCTTCCTATTTTGCATTTTTAACGCTGTTGTATGAATGACATGGCCGCTCCGGCGTTCAGGAGTTTTGCTGAGAGTTGTCGTAGGGAAAGTCGTTTGTTCGTCGGCCAGTCTCTCAGGAAGTGGAGAACTAAGTCGACGTCCCAGAGTCGTGAGTATTTGGGACCTGGGGGTCGTTGCAGCCGGATGACCCTCAGCAGTCGACACACCAGTGGGTCTTTGCCTACTGGGATCCCTAGTATAGGGACGTGGGCCGCCGAGATAGCGGAATGAACTACGTTAAGTGATCTATATGAACGGCCTGTGGAGAACAGGTGTGATAGAAAATTTAAAATGGCTGGGATAGATGCTGTAAATGGATTGAGGTTCCATTCCATGCACCAAGTGGACCAGGAATTCCAAGCCGATAGCAGCATCTTCTGGTTCCTGGTGCCCATGAGTCCCATAGGAGGTCCCTAGCAGCCTGTGATAGTTCGCCGACTTGCCAGGCACCCTGGAAAGAGACCAGGCCACCAGAGTGAGTCGATTGTCCAGGATCAGTGGGTGAGGATTGCCTTTCGGATCCGTGAGGGTGTACGGATGATGAGGCAGTGGTAATGGGCCCTTGTATGATAGTGCCAAGAGGTCTGGGAACCATGGTTGTCCCCTCCATAAAGGAGTGCTGAGCAATAGAGAGATTCGTTGACTTCTCAGGTAGTGGATGGTCCTTTCTATCATGGCAAAAGGAGGGAAGGCGTATGCCAGTGGCGTGAGAACCAGTCCACCATGAGATTTGTCTCACCCGGGAGATATTCCGCTTTGAGAGAAATATTGTGGGGTAGACAGAAGTAAAAAATCTCCTTTGTTATTTCTGACAGGAGACGGGAGCGGGCTCTGCCCAGGCGGTTGATGTAGCGTACTGCGGAGACGTTGTCCATCCTTAATGCAACAGTCCGTCTTGTCTTTTGCCAGGCTGTGGATGGCGAAAGATCCCGCCAGAAGTTCGAGGCAATTTATGTGCATGTTGAGGTCCTGGGAGGTCCAGACGCCTCCTGTCGATGTCTTTCCGCTTGTCACGCCCCATCCCCAGAGGCTGGCGTCTGAGTCCAGGACTATGTCGGGTGTGTTCCCGAAAATGGCCCGGCCGTTCCACGCTTCCATGCTCTCTAGCCACCAACTGAGCTCGTCTATGACTTCCTCCGTTATCGGGACCGGTTGGTCGTAGGAGGGATTTTGTCTGAGGAAGGACGCCTAGAGGCGTTGCATCGCCCTGTAGTGGAGTGGGCCCGGGAAGATAGCTTGTATGGAAGTTGAGAGGAGTCCCACCAGTTGAGCGAGGGTGCGAGGTGGTGATCATTGAGGGCTTGTGTCGTTTGGCAAGGGTATTGGTTACCCTTTTCCCCTTTCCACTGGCATTTGCCAGTGTGGGGTTCTTGATTCTTTTGAGATTTTAAGGCTTCAGAATCTGAATCATGACGGGATTGGTGGGTTTTTGAATGTTTCCTCTTGTCAGAGGCCATAATTTTGGAGAGGGCTTTCTCCATGGAGGTGGCTACGGCCTCGTTTATCATGGTTTGGAAGTCTGTGTTTTGAGGAGCTTCCATGGTAGTGTGGCACAGAGCGTAGTTGGCAGAGGTCAGTGTAGCTGTATTATAGTCACTATAATGACAATTAGGGCGGCACCCTTCAAACCCCAGCAGGGTACTGCAACAACAGGTAATTTGTTGCAATTGCGTTACCAAGTGAACCCTAGTAGGGTATGTGATATTAAGTACCCCAGCACGGTATTTGTTAGCAGTAGTATGTGACCCCAGCAGGGTTTGTATAGTGAGGAAATTCTCAGAATTAATAAAGACCCCAGCAGGGTATGTGTAAAATGTAGCTGGCACCAGTAGTGTCAGATTGCCCCTGTAGGGCAGAATTTACAGTATTGGGTTTTAGTGTTACTGGGCCTCAGTAGCAGCACAAAATTTAGGGGCAGCACCTCAATAAGGCAAGGATAGATTAAACCTTTATGCCTGATTACAGCTACAAATAAGATACTAACTGACCTCTGGTACAGACAAAAACTTGTCTGATACTGAAATCTCCGGTTGGAATTAGCTGGCTGTGTGTAAACGCGGCACTCGCGGTGTTTCTCAGATGGCCGCCGTAGTCTTGCGAAACTAAGACGGCCGCTGCGAGAATCGGGCCGCGGTTATGGCCAGGACCACGGTAACCGGAGGTGAGAGGGAGCTGTCAGGAGACGGCGCGGCTGGGCTGGTAATGGCTATGACTAACCAGAGAAGGGGGGGGGAGAATCCGGCGGGTAAAAGTGGGTCCGCTGGAGGGCGGGAAAAACTGAGGTAAACTAAATGGGAATATGAGGCAGCCGGACTAAAACCCTAGCAGCCCCACATACATAAAGGAGAAATGATAGTGAAAGGAAGAGCCAAAAGTCTGACCTGTCTGCGATGGAGCAGTAAAGAAAGAGGGGGAAGAGCCTATTTGCAGGGATACTATACTCCCTACTGCATTTTTGTTGGGTTAAATGTTTCACTTTTTTTACTGCTATGGAGTTTAGTAAAGAGAGTTATGCAAAATAGGAAGCCTCCTGTCATGTGATAAAATTATTATTATTTTGCAACAAAAACTGAGGGGCACCACCATATATGCCATTATAGACCAGTAGAAATGTTTCAGTGGAGTTTGGTTTTCGTGATTGTTGCATCAACCAATTTTTTTCCAAAATCATCTGGAGTTCTGATGAAAAGCTGAAAATGGTTATTAAATATGGATTACAAAGCAGTTAGTAACCAGTGTGGTTTAGAGACACCATTTGTGCATTTGAAATAAAGGAGTGGGACTTCAAATTCTGGATATGTTGCATTTTTAAGCTTTTAAGTACCATTGCCAAAGCTGTCATAGCTAGCAAGTCTAATAAAATGCTGTTATGTATATTTATAGATCCTGATTCAAGTGCTAAAAGCTTAATTTTGCTTTTTTATAAGTCAATGGTCAGACTCCACCAACATGTCCAATGCAATTTCTGGCACTGGAAAAGGACATTAATGATATTTAAAAGAGGGGGGGGAGGCATCTCTCAAAGGGGTATACAAACATATACAGGGCTAGAGCAGACCATTATTGAGTATCCTGTTCATTAGCAGTAATATACAATAGACAGAGGTAGTCCAAAGAGATTGGGAAAAAAGCTTTGCAGCAGAACAACAAATAAAAACATGTACTATATGTCCAAATAGATCATCTTATCAGATCCTGTACATATTTTTTATTTGTAAAAAAAAACCTGAATATTTAAGGAGATAATTAAAATGCATGCGAACAGGTAGTTGATGCAAGGTAAAATCTGACAACCACTATAGAGCCAAGATATTATTTTTTTTGCCTTCTTTTGGATCAACAACATAAAATTATATATAACAATTCTGACTTAAAATATGCTATTGCAAATTGAATGCCCTGCGACTACATTTAATAACAGCAAGACTATAAACCTAAGCATGCTGAATATACAGGAAATAAAAAATGGTCATCTGCATAACATTTCTCCAGGGATGAGAAAAGTCTTGTGAGTTAATATGTTTTCACCCTATAATGTTTTATGCCATATACTTTGTATTGCACCAATTTAATCAGTTTTTCTTGGAGTTATGTGAGGTTGTGTAGAGTGGTTTGAATTTTCATTTCAGTTCAATCTGAATTGATGTCCCTTAATGACGTTAGGGCATTTTGTTGTTCTACAGAAAGAGGGCTTAACTTCCTGTATTATAACGCCCTGCAGATTTGGCGTGAGCAGAGTTAAATCCCTGCTCACACCAGGGATCCCCAGGTATTAATGGATACATGGGGCTCCCCTTCTGTCTGCTGGGGCTATTTTTAGTGGCCCCAGATTTTTAGATTAGCTGCTTGTATTTACTGCAAACCATTATTTAAATAGGCATTTAAATGCCATACCATGGTGTGGCCATACTTATTGCAGCTAATCTACGCTAAACAAACCTTTGTATTCAAAGGTCAGTTATTTGATAAACAGGATAGATTTATTTTTGTAAAATGTCTCATTTGTCACACCTTTGCCAACCTCTATCTGCCAAGCAAGAAACAATAAATTAAGGCAAGTTGGGGTAACCCATCAATGTACAGCAAGCATGTCAAACTCACAGGCCAAATAAAGGTTTTTTGGGCCTCAAGAAAACGAGTGTAACCTAGACCAACACAAAAACTAAAATGTCATCCTGGGTATATATATTTAATTTACTCAAAAGTTTCAAGTTAATTAATATGCCCCCAATTCTAATACACAGCTTCCCGTGGCCCGTCCCCCACTCTAATTTAATAACTGCCCTCACTCCCGCCACTATAATTTAATACACTGCCCTCACTTCAGTGGCAGATCCGGGGGGGGGCAACAGGGCAATTGCCCCCCCGAGATTCTCCCCTGCCGGCTAGTGCAGGGCTGGCATTGTCCAAGTGCAAGCCCTGCAATGTGCCTGCGGAACCGGGGAGATCAGAGATCACAGATCTCCCTCCCCGGTCCGCAGGCACTGTGCTGGCAGCCGGCAGAGGAGGGAGAGGGAGGGAGTGAGGACCCGGGAGCTCTTACCTGCAGCTCCTCCGGGTCCTCCTCTTGCAAGCATGGAGCGTTGCCACGGTAACAACGGCAACGCTCCAAATCTCGCGAGAGTGAACTCTAGCCCAGGAGCGCGGGCTAGAGTTCACTCTCCCCACCACTGGGACCACCAGGGATTCCCCACCGGACCACCAGGGATCCAGAAATGTCCCCCCTCCTCCCAGTAAAGGTAAGAAGGGAGGGACATGAATATAATTGATTAAATTTAAAAAAAAATTAAAAGCCTCCCTAACCTCCTTCCCCCCATACACACACTACACACACTGCCCCCCATACACTGCCCCCATACACACACTGCCCCTCATACACTGCCCCCATACACACACCACCCCCTACACTGCCCCCATACACACAGTGTACACACACTGCCACACACACTGCCCCCATACACACACAGTACACACACTGCCCCAATACACTGCCCCCATACACACACTAACAAACACTGCCCCCATACACAGACTACACACACTGCCCCACACACACTCACACATACCCCATACACACCCCCCATACACACACTACATAAATTGCCCCATACACTGCCCCCATACACAGACTACACACACTGCCCCATACACTGCCCCCATACACACACTACACACACTGCCCCTATACACTGTCCCCATACACACACTACACACACTGCCCCCTATACACACACTACACACACTACCCCCCATACACTGCCCCCCATACACACACTACACACACTGCTCCCCATACACTGCCCCCCATACTGACACTACACACACTGCCCCATACATACACTACACACACTGCCCCATACACTGCCCCCTTACACACACTACACACTGCCCCCATACACTGCCCCCATACAACACACACTACACACACTGCCCCCATACACTGCCCCATACACACACACTACACACACTGCCCCCTACACACTACCCCCATACACACACTGCCCCACAAACACTGCCTGCCCCCATACACACACTGCACACCCATACACACACAGCCCCCATACACACACTACCCACACTGCCCCCCATTCACACACTGCCCCAAACACACACACACTGCAACTCTCACACACACTGCAGCTCTCACACACACACTGCTCCACACATACACTGCCCCACACATACACTGCCCCCTAACACACACACTGCAACCCTGACATACACTACCGCCCTCACGCACTCGCACACACTTCACCGCTCACACACACTGCACCTTTCACACACACTTCACCCCTAACACATACCACTGCTCCTATGCCCTATATCCCGGCAGACCCCAGGTAAGTTGTCAAACTGTTCTTAAATGGTTTGACTACTTACTCTGGGATGGGATCCTGGCACTACGGGCTCCATAATTACTACACTGAGCTGTAGTGGTTATTGTGCCTGCATTATTTCTTTAAATAATGTACACGTGCCCCTCCCGAGATCAGGCTCTGGATCCACCACTGCCTCACTCCCGCCACTCTTATTTAATACACTACCTCTCTTCCCTCCCCCAATTTAATACACTGCACCCACTCCTACCACTCTTATGTAATACACTGCCTCCCCTCTCTCCTCCAATTTAATACACTGCTCCCCTCCCACCACTCTAATACAATGCTCCCTCTCTCCCCCCAATTTAATAAACTGCACCCTCCCACCACTCCAAAACAATGCCCCTCATCCCAATCCCCACTTTAATACACTGTACCACCTCCCTTCTCCCAATTTAACACATTGCCCCCTCCCACCAATTTAACACATTGCCTCCCACCACTCTAATACATTGCCCCCTCCCACCACTCTAATACACTGCCCCTCATCCCACTCCCCAATTTAATACACTGTCCGCCTCACTCTAATACACTGTCCTACCTCCTTCCCCCCAATTTAACACTGCACTCCCCCAATTTAATACACCGTCCCCCTTACACCACTCTAGCACACTGCCCCATTTCTTCCCCCAATTTACACTGCCCCTCATCCCACTCCCCAATTTAACACACTGCCCTCCATCTCCATCCCACCACTGTAATACACTGCCCTGCCACCCCTACCCCTCCCCATTTAATACACTACCGGAAGGTTCCTCTTCTTCCCCTACCTTAAGCTGTTTTTCAGTCCAGTCCTGCACAATCTTCTCTGCTCTACCAGGCCAGACACTCCTCTGGCACTGCGAGCAGTAGGAAAGGGAATTGGCTGGCCTGCCCTGCATGCAGCCAGCCACTTTATGCACAATGTATGTGCATATCCGTGGACCGGCGTGGAAACATTTTGCACTCTTGCAGCCTGGGCCGCAAACATACTCATTGTGGGCTGCATGCGGCCTGTGTGCCGCATGTTTGACATGCTTGATGTACAGCATGCAAATACAGACTGAATGCTAAAGGCATAATCAAAACTCCCTCAAGTGGTTTAATGGAAATTAGTTGAAATTAATAGAATAGAAATTGTGGCCAGCCTAAGGCACACCTGTGCAATAATCATGCTGTCTAATCAGCATCTTGATATGCCACACCTGTGAGATTGATGGATTATCTCAGCAAAGAAGTGCTCACTATCAAAGATTTAGACAGATTTGATTTTAGACAATATTTTAAAGAAATAGGCCTTTTGTGTACATAGAA